TGCTTTGTGAGTGAGTGAATAGTCAAGCAGGGGTGGGAAACCTTTTTTTGGGCCAAGGGTGGGGATCATTGACCCACAGAAAAATCAGCCAGGAGCCACACACAAGTGAGAATTAAAACAAAATAAAACAGAAAAGCCCTCACTGACCTGGCCCCCAATTGAGAAGCAGAAAAAAAGGACATTCACCGCACTATCTTCAAGCACTGCCCCAAAGCCTAGGGGGAACAGGGCTAGTAGATTTTATAGGGGCCCTCCTTAGGCTCTGAAGTGGGGCCAAAACTAAGGGGTTGAGTGCATGGAGGGGGCTGCTGGGGAATGGGATCTGAGGGGTCTGGCCAGGAGGTAGGGTGCAGGAGTGCGCTGAGGGAGGGTCTGGGCAGGAGAGAGGGTGCAGGGAGCTGGTTGGGAGTGTGTTCAGAAACAATTCAGTTGTCTGTCAAGTTAAAGCATCACAATGACAGCGAGTAGAATCAGATCAAAGCAGATGTATTCCTGTTTGTTTTGAACCTATATATTTTAAGACTAGCCTGAAGAACCATTTACAAATATATCTGTAAAACTCTGGACATAAAGTTAAAACAGGAAGATGTGCTGGAGAGATTTTCCACAAGCAGCTGAAATAAAAGGCATTGTTTTGCTGCATAGCAGTTTTGATTATATCCAGAATACCGCATCTCTGTTGCAGGGTATTATTAGCTTTGGGCTTGACATAGGTGAAAAATGAGCTCTTTTACCATTCTCTATGTTAAATGCCCAACTTCCTGACTGCTATTAAAATGGCTTAAGCTGTCAAATTCTGACCGCTATTGAGTGATGCTGTTCCCTATACATATGGATACAGCAATTCTGAGAGAATCTGTGGTACTTTGTCAGGGTGTTGACTTACAGTTCAGCTGGGGTACATATGATTGTGTACCGTGCCTAATATCTGTAACCCAGGTGAGTGGGGGTAGTGGGGATTAGGGTTAGTAAGGTTTATTGGGACCCATTCACAAGGACTATTTCATAGTCATAGCAGGAAATGTTTAGTTTGTGCTTTTGCAATTAAAATTGGAATTTGGTTTTCCAGGATGATTCCTGAAATATTTTATTCGCTAGCCTCCACCTTTCTTGCCGTGCTTCCCAACCATTTTAAAGGAAATACAACCTTTGGATTAGGATTAGGGAACGGTGTCTGCCAGGAGAAATTAATTCAGTAGTGACTCCAGCCCTGTGCTCTGAATTGCTCAGAATAGTGCAGTTTCTAGCAGTGTTCCTCTTCCACTGGGAGTATCGATCTTGTTAATCTCATTGGGACTGGTTTCATGAAGAGAGGGAAGGAGAGCCTTATAGAGAAGCCACGATTTTGTGTGGGCATTACTGAGAGCTCAGCAAACTTTAAAAAAAAATGGTACAACCGAGATTAAACCGCTACCCCCAAAACATCTTGGTTTAAGAGGCTGGTGTCTTTATTTGTTATCAGGTACATGTACTTCACCAACATGCAAGAGCGAGCCCCAAAGATAGAGCGTGCAGCTCTGGATGGCACGGAGCGAGAAGTGCTCTTTAGTACCGGGCTGATCCGACCTGTTGCGCTGGTCATTGACAACAAGTTGGGGAAACTCTTCTGGGTGGACGCAGATCTCAAACGCATCGAAAGCTGTGATTTGTCGGGTACGTGGTAGCAATGCACGCTGAGCCTTGGGTATTTATCGTGTCTCTTGTCCTTCTCTGACAGTTCCCAAAGACGTCTTCTAACTCTAACTGTGCCTAATGTGTGCAGGCATCTGCAAAAATGGTCAGTAACGGGCTCCCTTCTTTGCAGCACAAACATGGGCAGGGCCTGTTGTGTAAACCTCTTAAAGGACAATAGCACCATACCTAAGTGTTCTGTTTTTTCAGTCACTGGCTTTTAAATGCCAAAGGCTGGTCAGTAGGAGTTCAGACAATGGCAGGTAACTGTAGTAGAGTATTTTATAGAGGCATTCCCAAGACTGACAGGCCCAAAATCCTAATGCACTTTTGGTTTGTTATATTTCTTTCTGTGTAGTCATTTAGTTCATGTGTGCCCACCTCCACCCCCATCCACCCCAAAAACTTGAATCTTTCTGCACTGGGTGACCAATTAACTTGTCTAGAGCAGTGTTTCCCAATTTTATTTGGCTGAGGAACCCTTTTCAGCTTTTCAAAATTTCAAGGAACCTCTAGGTTTGTCGAGCAAAAAAAAAGGGGGGGGGGAGGAGAAAGGGACCCACCAATTCATGAAATTCACATTCCTTCCCCAAGAGCCTCCCCCCCCCCACCCCTCCTGTGAGGCCTCATCCGCTCTGTTCCCCTCCTCTCCATCACTTGCTATACCCAGCCCTTATACCTGTCTCAACCTAGTGAGAGTGAGGTGTGGGGTGGGAATGAGGGATTT